ATGTGTGTGTGTGTGTGTGAGAGAGAGAGAGAGAGAGAGAGAGAGAGAGAGAGAGAGATTCCCTCAGAGGGGTCCAGGGGCAGGGAAACCTGGGGACTCCAAACTCTGCTGGCCCCATCCATCTTTGGCTATAGTTCAGGTAGCTGACCTTCCTCCTGCCCCAGGCATTCCTCTCCTGCAGCCAGGCACTCCAGGGTGGCCCTGCATTTTTACCTGCTCTGTTGAGGATTTCTCTGGCCAGCTAATTGACTGCCTCCCCATCTGCCTCCCTCCATGTGTCTCCTCACCTGGAGAACTTTATTCTACTTCCCCTTTGAAAGTTCAGCTCTCTGGTGACCTACACTTCAGAGAGCTGCCCCTCTCTGAGGCAGCAGTGTGTGTGATGCCGTGTGACTGGAAAGTTCCAGAAGGTCTCTCAGGACAAGTCTCCATAGGCCTAACCTGGCCTCAAGGCTGACTGTATGAGCCTTAGATGAGGGACCACAGAGGATATTGAAGGGTCTCTTCATTCATCCCGGGCACCTTGTTACTCCTCGGTGGAGACCTAGGACCAGGCTCCTCTAGGAGGCCCTGACACTGTCCCATTTCTCTGTCTTCTCATTAACACTGGATCTCTGGCTACTCGTGGGCAGACCTTACCTCCCTGTCCCCATCATGCGGCTCTGACGGATGTGACGATGCATCCACATGTTGCCCTGCTTTTCTTGTTCATGTCCAGCCCCTGAGGACCTTGAAGGGGTTGTCCCAAAGGAAGGTTCCCAAAGTCCCAACTTTCTGGGAACAGAAAAATCCTCCACAGGGCTGAGAACCCACAACCTGGGTCCCGGACTCCCCTGAGAATCCACGTGCTTCAAATTGCCCTCACTTAGGCTACTTAGCACACCTTCCATTCAGAAGTGCCAGGAATTTTAATGGTTCGTTTCCTGTGTCTTCTGTACTCCAAACTTTCACTCCTGCAGACTCAGGGCTCTGCTTCTAACTGCTGAACCCTTGGAAATAAAGAGTGTCTGGACAGATTCTAAGAGGCAAATTGTCTCCAACAATCCTGTCTATCTAGCACTCTGTTCATAGACCCCTCTCCTCTGAAACTTAGCCTCGATCCCCATTGAAATGTCCCCACCAGGCTCCCACAGTTTCAGAAAAGGTGGGGTGATATTGGAATGGACAAACAAGGCCACCAGAAACATGAAAAGTTTCATTCATAAAACTGTAAAACTTAGTACATGATAAACTAGGCAGAAGCAAGCGGATCTCTGTGACTTAGAGGCCAGCCTGGTCTACAAAGCAAGTTTCAAGATGGTCAGGGCTGTTACACAGAGAAACCTTGCCTTAAAGCAACAACAAAATAGCCAGAAAAATCTCTTAATATGAAACTGTACATGCACAATTATGACTGTGGGGGACACAATTATGATGGGGGACAAGGGTTTAACACACATCTCCAGCTGGTATGGCTGCAGGCATCCCGAAGCTTATGGTCATGTCATTCCATCTCTGTGCTCTCTGGCATCTCCCCTGTGTCTGTCTAATCCTCTACTTCTCATTCTTACATGTCCCAGGATTCAGAGTCTTGACAGGAGAAACAGAATACCCACCTCATCTCAAGATTCTCCACTCATTGGCTTTTGCAAAGGATCCTTTCCAGGTGAGACATCCACATGGCCCAGGAGTCGGATGTGAGTGTTTCATGGCGGCTGCTATCAAGCCGTTCAAAGCCAGACATTCTGAGTGTCTTGCTACAGCCAGAGATTTTTCGGGTACATATGGTACCATGGTCACACACAAGAAAGCATGGTCTACTTGGAGACAAATGGTCACCCAGTTCCTGAAGTTAGTTTTAGTAATCAAGTAAGGACCTTTCTACACTCCTTTTTTTTAAAATAAATATTTCTATCAATTCCTTGAGTGTTTTATCTAATATATTTGGTCACATCCCAATCCCTCCCCCTAACTTCTCCCACATATACCTCACCTTTGTAGCCCCCAAACTTAGTTGTCCATCCTCTTTTGTGTTTTTTTGTTTGTTTGTTTGTTTGTGGTTTTTTTGGGGGGGGGGCTTGTTTTGAGACAGGGTTTTGCTGTAGTTTTAGAGCCTGTTTTGGAACTAGCTCTTGTAGACCAGGCTGTCCTCGAACTGACAGAGATCTGCCTGCCTCTGCCTCCCAAGTGCCTCTACCTAGATGGCCTGAGATGTACCTATGATTTTGACTCCTCACTGTTAACTTGACTGGATTTAGAACCCCCCCACCCAGGAGACAGACCTCTGAGTATGACTGTGAGGGCATTTCCAGAGAAGTGTGACTGTTGAGAGAAAACCCATCCTGATGATGGGCAGCACCATTTCAGGTAGTGAGGGTCGGCCCTGAACAATGAGCTTAACCTGAGGACGCATTGTGAGCAGCGGCACACACCACCTCCACTGTCTTCCTCAGCCACCATGACAGATGCTTGAACCATGAACCCAAACGAGTCCCTCCTTCCTTAGGCTGCTTGGTCTGTGTGTACCTTTTCTCTGTGCTACTGGGACCACAGCTCTGTAGGGAGGAAAGTTTGTTGGTGTCCCCAGTGGGCAGACCTCGTGTGTTCTTCTCTTCCTTCCCTCTCTCATTTGCCTCAAAGACTTACAAGATGTTTGTAAACAAACCAAACCGTCAAGGCTACCTATAGAAGAGTTTATTGGAACTTAAACATTCCAGAAGGTTAGAGTCTGTAAACATCATAGTGGTTCACGCGACAACAGGCAGGCGTGGCGCTAGGGCACTGAGAGCTGAGGTCCTTATTCACAGGTAGGAGGCAGAGAGAGAGAATTGGAAAATGCATGAGCTTCTAAAAGGGAGGAGAGAGGACACTGTGAGGAAATATTGTATGGACCAAAACAAGATCAAAACTCAGCAAGGTCAACTCCAAACCCTGTAGATCCACGTCTGGTGTGAATGGACTTAGGCGGTTCCATCCTTCCTGCTTTGTTGACTACAGCACTGGTTCCATCCTCGTATGTCGTGCTCCTTGGCATATATCTAAGGCTCTGGCTTCTCCAGCATCTTGGGTCTCAATTACAATCCATACTTCACTTACCCGCTTCATGCAACAACTCCTCTGGGCCTCCATGCCAAGACTCGCCGACCACACACTTGGCCTGGGCAGCTCTCTTTTACCTCAGTGGAAGAGTTCACAGTCCCCTTCCTCCTGCATCCTTCTCGACTCTGAAGCCAGAATCGTGTAGAACCACGTGGCCGACATTGCCCAGCTCTGGTGACTTGCTTGGCTTAGAATCTGGCTCTGTCTTTGAATTGAATTTGCATAAGCTTTTACTTGCTGTTGCTCATTAAGAACTGGTAATTCCTTAGGTCCTTTTCACAGGTTGAAAGATTAGCTGGGTGGGGTCTTTCCCTGAGAGTACCCTTCCCTCTATCCATTTCTCCTTATCTCATTCAGCAAAACCTCGCACTAACAGGAAATTTCTTGGTGTTTTCACCTCAGGCAGAACATTTTGTATTTTTTTGCCCCCCCCCTCACTCTTTCAGAGTAAATCTGCTTAAGGGTGATAACTACATAACAAAGTCAATATTATACTTAAACTCTTCTCTGGTGATGAAATCAGTTCCAAACTCTTCATTTAAGCCCCAAACAAATTCTTAGGACAAGGACAGAAAGCAGCCATGGTTTGGGCTAAGATATCACAAGAATGGTCTCTGGCGCATTTCTTAATATTGTTCCCTTCTGAAGCCTCTTGAGCTGGTCTCTGTAGTCAACCTTGCTCTCAGCATGACTGTTCTTCAAAGCTCCTACTAGGTGGACTGCTGAGGCCCTTAACAGTGGTCAGCTGTTTCCTAGTCCTAAGTACCAACATTATCCACGTTCCTCCAAAGCCAGGATGATCACAGCAATCCTGCACTCCCTGGTACCAGGGACATAGTTACTTTTCTTTGCTATGGAAAGACACCATGACCAAGGCAACTTACAGGGAAAAGGAGCTTATTGGAGGCTTGCTTACAGTTTTAGAAAGTGACCATCATGGTGGAGTAATGTGGGATACCACTCTGTATGCTGTGAATACGATTGGTTAATTAGCAAAGAAAACTGCTGTGGCCTGTTGATAGGGCAAAACTTAGATAGGCAGGAAAAACTAAAGTGAATTCTGGGAGAAAGGAGGCAGAGTCAGGGAGAAACCATGGAGCCCTGCTGGAAACAGATGCCAGAACTTTACCCGGTAAACCACAGCCATGTGATGATACACAAATTACTAGAAATGGGTCAAATTATGATGTAAGCATTAGCCAATAAGAAGCTAGAGCTAATGGGCCAAGAGGTGTTTTGAATAATATAGTTTCTGTCTGGTTATTTCGGGACTGAGAAGCTGGGAACCAACAAGTGGCCTCCTCCGATAGTGGAGAGCATAGCAGGGAGCTAGTGAGACAGGATGTTTGAGCAATAGCTGAGAGTTTACATCCTGATCCTGATCACAAGCATGGGAGGGAGGGAAAAAGAGAGAGAGAGAGAGAGAGAGAGAGAGAGAGAGAGAGAGAGCTTTCTAAACCTCAAACCTACTCCCAGTAACACACCTCCAACAAAGGCCACCCCTGGTCCTTCCCAAAATGTCCTACCAACCCATGAGCATTTGGGAGTGTCCTCATTCAAACTACCATCCTATGTTCTCCTTTTTGTTTATTTGAGACAGGTCAGCCCCAGAAGTCCTGCCCTGGAACTTGCAGTGTCTCTAGGTGACCTTGGATGATAGGCATATGCCCGACATCAACCCAGGATGTTCTTGCATGATGACTTTTCAGCGAAACACACTTAAGATTGGGTATATTTTCATTTTCATGCCTACGGGAGTCAGGAGAAGCCTAGTGCTTCCCACCACTCGCCTCCCCAGACAACTCCTCTTTGCCTTCCTCTTCCCTGTTCTCCTCTCTCCTTCCCTCCCCTTCTTGTTGGGAGATACCAACAAGCATTGAACCTGTGTGAGATTTGTGTTAACCAGCGAGGTCTTGCATTGTTACCACAGCCTTCATGCTGCCCAAGATCAACAATGCATTTAGTGTGCCGCTGGCCACCAGGGAGCCCTTGAGGAGTCTGGTATGGTCAAGTTTCTCACATAGATTTTTTTCCTTTTGGGATGTATAACAAGCTGCACAGGAATGTTGTTTTTACTCGATACTTTCTGCAACGTGTTGTGACCACAGGAGAAGGGAGTGACTTTGTATATGAGCTCTGTAGGCCACTACAAGTCCCTGAAGGCAAGTTTTCTTTATTTGCACAGCTTCCTCAGACCTCGAGGTCCTGTGGGTAAGTGAAGTAAAAGCTGCCTGTTCTCCTTCCACTTCAGATACATAAAGGTAAGTGAAGGGTGTTGGGTTTACATTAAGTGAAGGGTGTTGGGTTTACATACGCAGCCACCCATCAAAGCAAGCAATGAGAAACACTGAACCCAGAAGCTGGGCAGGGTCCCTGAAACAAGTAGAGCCAGGGCCAATGTCTGTAGCTGAGCCCAGAAGCTGGGCAGGGTCCCTGAAACAAGTAGAGCCAGGGCCGATGTCTGTAACAGACCACTGAACTACAAACCGCAATGTGGGCCTTGGTTGTGCAGATTCCTCGCGTCCAGGGATGGAAAGCAGCCCGCCTCATTGTGGTGTAACCTCTGTGAGGAGCTGACCACTCACCTGGCCGGCAATTGCCTCCCAGAGTGGTGAGCTCTGATACTTTCAGGTGACTCTCCACCCCAGCCTCCAGGGGTGGCTATCGGGCTCCCTTCAGTTAGGGTTCATCAGCCAGAGCCCTAAGCTGCAGCAGAGGAAGACATGAGCAAGCGGGGCCCCCACTCACATGCTCCCACATACGACCCTCTTGGAGAGGCAGCCCCAATGTGTCCTTAGGCCTACTAGGCCTTCTCAGTCATCTGTTCTGTGTAGTTCTTCGGGGCTGATGACCCTGCCTTCCTCCTTCCCTCCCTTCCTACCTGGCTCACTTTCACCGTGCAGACCAGGAACCAGGATGAATTTTCTGGAGCCCCTTTGCACACTGTCACCCTCACTGCAGCTGCGTTATGACCTCATTTCCCCCAAGGGCAGACACAGCAGGGGCTGCAAGGATCAGCTTGCCCATGGTGCTGGCCCTGGCCCTCAGGGTCCTGTTGTGCCTGTGGAGGAGGCTCAGACTCCTCTGGAATGCCTGCGAGCATAGCCAGGGAAGAGGGACCACTCAGGAACGACCCAGGTTCTGTGTCACAGGTCACTGGCTGCTGCTGAGCACCTGGGACAAGGCTGATGGTGTTGAAGTCTTCCAGCCTTGGGCTGGGCTGCCGTGGAGTGCTGCACAGGAAGGCAGATGTGGGGCAAAGGCTCTTAGGCCCCCAGCACCCGCTGAGGAGGAAAATGAGCCTGGACGGAGCACACCTGGTCCAAACGAAAGCACCTGGCCTGGGCCTGGAAAATACACGGCAAACCACTCTCCAGCTTCGATGGGCCCTTCCTTACCTTGCCTCCACTGTCTGTCTCTCCCAGTCTAGATGCACGACCCTTGGTGGGTTCCTGGCAGTGGACAGGGCAGACCCTTGGTGGGCTGAGAGCAAAATAGCCTGGTGAAACCCCCAGAGGAGAGAGAACTCCTCACCCCCTTCTCAGTAAGCATGTATCTATGTGAGATCTGGACAAATCCTCCCCGGGAACACATGTGTATTACAGAGGTAAGGAAGTAGATTCCCTACTCTGTACCCTGGAAAAATAAAGGACCCACCCAAATTCAAAGGGAGGTACCTCTCTTTTACTATCTGACAAGAGAAGGAAAGCCTTTTTAAATGTAGAAAACCTCTAAGACTAATTGTAAGGGGAAAAATACACTTAGTTTTAGAATTTAGCATGTCTTTCCCTTGAAAGTGAAGTGGGTTCGTGGTCAGCCTCAGCTAACCCCAAGCTCTCCTGGCTTCATATCTAAGTTTTTCGGGGAAGCATCTGTACTGGGCTAACAGTGGTATGTACCTTCTTTTACCATCGCATGGATGAGTAGACCCTGTCACTCACCCAGCTGCTAGAGTTACCCATCCCAGGCTGAAGCCGAGGTGGCCTTCCTGTCAGTGTAGAGCTCAACTCCACTACCTTCCACTTTAACTCACTGCTCTTGGCTCTAGCTTGGGGACTGACCCAGTCGGAGTCATAGGCGTTGGCAATGCACTCAAACGATTCCCCTCATCTTGGTGTTGCCCTCCCCGGCCACCTCTTCTCTCTCTGCTGTTGTTCTTTGGCTAGCCTTGCTGTAGACTGCTGGGACATGGTTCTCCCACTTACCAGGAATGGCTCACAAAGGCCTGACGATCAGATCTGGGAAACATTGGTACCAGGTCCTAATGCTATGCCATGACCTGAGAGACAGCAGCGTATCTCCAGTAACCCTGTTTTTCACGCCACTCCCTTTCCCCACCTGAGCATCCTGCTCGGGCCCCTCATTCCAGGTGATGGTCCTTTCCTTTAGTCTCCCTGCCTGGCTTCCTGCTCTCCTGAGAGGAGTGTCATCCACCACAATGTCACTTCCCGCACACCCTGGCAACAATGTAAGGTATCTAGCTAGCTGACATCTACTGTGCTCCAAATTAGCAAGTCACCTGACCACCTATCCATCCCCACCAGATGTTCTGACCCTTGAATCTGCCACTAGGGGCCCCACCGTCCTGTCCTGGTGACTTTGTTATCTGCCTGCTTCCTCGTACCCCTCCAAGTTTCCACAATCTCACCCTCAAATGTTCCTCCTAAATGCCACTACCTCTTTGTGCCCAATCACCCTGAGATCACTCACAAGTCATGGTCTGCAGCCTCATGATCCCCAAGCCTCAGCCATGCCTCTGACACTTGATTGGGGAGAGACACCCATGGACCAGGTAAGCAATAAACAGTTGGAAAAGGCCTGGCTCAAGCCAGTGCTGTCGGATTTAGAATGGACATTTCCGGAAGCTTTGGGCAGCAATCCCTCATCACCCTGCAGTGAATAAATAGGAACCCCCAGAGCCCAGGGATGGCTCGACGGGCAAAGTGCTTTATATACAAGCACAAAAACTTGAGTGAATTATAGACAGGCATGCCTGCCCCCAGTTAAAACCCCAGCGCTCAGTAGGTAGACACCAGGGATTCTTCTGGCAAACCGGCTATCTAGACTAGACCAATCCGTGGGGATCTTGTGATAGAAACTATCTTAATAAATATGGTAGAGCACTAAGGAAGCAGAGGCAGGGGGATTCCTATGAGTTAGAGGCCAGGATAGTCTACATAAAGAGCTCTAGATCACCCGGGGCAACATAGTGAGAACCTTTTCAGTAACAGAAAAAGTAGAATGGACAGCAATTGAGGAAGACATTCACTGTCAGTATCTGTCCTTCCTATGCATATGTATACACGTGTGCATAATCACACATGTATACCTATGTGCATAATTACACATGTATACATATGTGCATAACCACACACATCCATGTGTATGCGCACAAATGGCCACAAACATACATGCACAACACACAGACACACACGCACAGACACATACACACACACACACACACACACACACACACATTAAATAAAGTGGAAGACCATGGAAGGCAGAAAGGCATGATGGGAGCTCCTGGAACCTATTTGAGGACATGATGCTAAAGTTGAGGGTCTACTTCTAGCTTTAGTGTTACTCAATCTTAAAATAACAAAGTGTCTCTTAAAAATCCATATATATTCTAACGAGTCCTTCCAATTCTAAATGCATCAAGGAAGCCGGAACCTGCCGCATTCAAGGTATTAAAATTGGAGCCGGTGGTGGCTCCACATTAGCCATTACATCAAATGGAGATGGCTTTAAATTTATATTAAATTCAATTTAAATGCCATCAAAACCATGGTTGACAAAGTACTGACGGATGAATATTTCAGAATGACTCAATAGCAGTAAACTTTATTTTCCTACCTTGAGGCTTCTGTGCCCAATAGGTTGAACGGGGTCTGCAGGAACATGGCTGATGATTTCCATGAAGGAAATTTTTATCTTTAAAAAGTGATTTTCAAGGCTTTAAGTCTTGAACTCTGAAAACATTTCTCCAGGCTTCTTTCTGCTTTACTCATTATTTCATGCTATGAAATCTAATCCTTAACCTACTCTCAAATACCTCCTGATTCGGAATGGACAATTAGTTACTTTAAAGGTTTTATGTTTCATGCTGGTCTTCAGTCATATTTTAGCCTGGTTTTTCCGCCTGAAGTTTTTGGTCACAGGGAGAAAAGGGTGTATTATAGTAATTCCCCTGTGGCTGGGGTTAGAAGAGTAAATTCTTAGCCAAGTGGACAAAGACTCAATTAATTAGTTAACTGGTCTTTGCAATGACTTCTGAGAAATTAATAGTTTTCACTTGCCCTGGGAGAGGCCTTGATGTGACTCTGTAAGGCTCATACAGACAGATAAAATCATGCCATATAAATTATTATTAGAGAGAATTATCAGACAGACTGATGATTGATACACAAATGATAGATGGGTGATAGGTAGATGATAGTTATATAGATAATAGATAGACAGATAGATGATCGTTACATAGATGATAGATGGATAGACAGACAGACAGACAAGTGGATAGATAATAGAAGAAAGAAATTGAATTAGATAGTTGGTTGGATTAGATGTGTGAACAGGTAGATCAGGTGGATGGATCAGAGGTTAGATGGATGAGCGGGTGGGTGGTGGACGGATAAGTGAATGGATGAGTGACTGGGTGGATAAAACTGTTGTGGCTACATGTATACCCATGTCATATGTCAATACAGAAACGTCAAATAGATTTGTGTAAGAAATATTATTCTTTGATTTCCCTTTACAGTTATGAGTCGAATTCTGAACTTCCCTTTTTGATGTTAGAATTATCCCAGCATCCTGTAGCTATGGAGAGATGCTAGAGGTCTTCTGAGAATAGGACTGCCACAGCATTCAAACCTAGAAGCCATTACAGGGTTGCCTGCAAGAGAGGAAAAGGAACTGTGAGCATGGTATGCCACAAGGGGCTGACCTGGGTCTCAGGGTCAGCATGGACTCCCATGACAGTGTGGCAGATGAGCTACTCTGGGCATGGCTCTTGAACACCTCTCATCCAACCTTCTAGACTAAAGGGTCAAGCAATGGGATTTAAAGACAAAATGTGGGGGTCCTTTTTACAGTGCATGGGGGCTGGAGGATTCTGCTCGCATCATCAAGGTTGGTGTCCCTTACACCATTGTAGCATGGTCAACAGTACTGCTGACACTCACACCCGTGTGCAGATTCTGGCCTCATCTGCAGACCTCTGCATCCACACAGCAAATGGGTCCCAGTTTCAGAAAGTCACTCGTCAGTGGCAAGCTCATGGAGAAGTCAAACCCACACAAACTGTCTTCTTAAGTTCTGCGTCTGATGAGGTTGGATTGGAAATTAAGAGATGCTGGAAAGGTTCTGTACAAATATGTTTGCCAGAAACAGCCCCAGGGAAGTCAAACTAACACTTTGGAATGAAAGCTGTCAGGGAGGGCCCATACATCCCTCAGAAAAGCCGGAGGCAGGTCTCATTCTTAACGTGTGACAGGAAGTTGTTTGTAACCTGCATGGTCACTTTAGCCCCATTGTTGGTGGAGAAGAAGTATTAATAGACATTTTGGAATTCAAGTGCTTATGACTGGAGAGATCTGGGAAGTGAGGGGAAATGGGGGCTGGCTGTTGTCCTACAACGGAGCACTGACAGCTTTCCAGCCAGCGAAGAACGTTCCTTCTAAGCACGCTAAACTCTTCCCACTGTCAGTCTGAAGCTATAAAAGTCTACTGCAAAACTCAACTTACCGTCCAGATAATCAACATATCACTATTTCAGGTAGTTCAGAAGATTGATGGCAGGAACTGAGCCCAAAGGTCTGTGTGTACAGACTTAGAAAATAATAATTATTTGGGTGCTGATCATCAGTACACATAAGGCAGTGAAGACCAGGGTCCCTGAAGTCTCAGTCCTTCAGATCAAGCTGGGTACTAAAGCCCAACCTCTTCCCTCCCTCTTCTTTATGGTATGTTTAATAAGTATATGTTAATATGTACATTTGAAACACCAATCCTGGCTGTTTCTTTTGGATTATTTTGTTTCTCAAGAAAGGGTTTCTCTGTACATAGCCCTGGACGTCCTGGAACTCTCTACAGGGCAGACTGGCCTTGAACTGCCTCTGCCTCCCTAGTGCTGGGGCTAAGTGTGTGCGCCACCATTGCCCAGCACAGTTTCTTGATAATACACCAGGAATTGAACAGAAAGGAGCCGTACAGCTAAGCAAAGGTCATTCTGTCCCAGACACCTGCCTGACACACATGCAGAAGCACTCACTGGGTGATCAACAGTGACCACAAGGGCTTTCTGCAGGCCCAAGCACCCCACCGAGAAGTCCAACCTTGTGTAGATACTTATTCCACAGACCAGATCGTGGCTGCATGTCAAGAGGAGAGACATGGGGGTTGATGAGCTGGCTCAATAGTCAAGAGCACTGGCTGCTCTTCCAGAGGACCTGGGTTTAATCCCCAGCACCCATAAGGCTGCTCACAACTGTTTGTATGTAACTCTAGTTCCAGGAGATCCAACACTCTCACAGAGATATACACGCAAACAAAACATCAATAAAACAAAGAAGAAGAGGAGGAAAGGGAAGGCCCTGGAGGAAAACACTCCCACACCTTTTCTCCTTCTGGTAGAACTATTTGTTCCCTGGATCTCAGCACACTG